TCTCTCTCTGTGCCAAAGCGGGAAGATTCATTCCGCAAAGCGGGAATGATCCCGTCCGTTTTTCTTATTTCTTTTTTTTTTTTTTCGTTTTTTTTTTCCGTTTTTTTCGTGCCTTTCACGTCAACGTTCGGGATGCCTGCGCCCGGTAGTCCGAGCCTCGGCACGGATCGGCGTACCGGTCGGCCGAGGGTCGGACTCGATAGCAGCGCGTAAAGGAAACCTTTAAATGAGAATCTTCAAAAAGAAACTCCATGAATAGAATAATCAATGATAGAGAATAGAATTTGTTTTGATTCAGTACTTTTGAAGCTGCATGAGTGCCATCTCCGAAAACAATTGCTTTTTTTGCCTGTCAAATTTTGACAATCAATAGATCGAGAAAACCATGCTGCTTGAGATACAAATCGAGTTTGCTTATCTATATAAGATTCAAAATCCATTGGTTTTTCAAGTGTTGGAATGATCCCGTTCGTTTTTCTTATTTATTTATTTATTTATTCGTTTTTTTTTCCCGTTTTTTTCGTGCCTTTCACGTCAACGTTCGGGATGCCTGCGCCCGGTAGTCCGAGCCTCGGCACGGATCGGCGTGCCGGTCGGCCGAGGGTCGGACTCGATAGCATTCGAAGGCTTGCAAATAGAAGTGTCAGAACTTGGGTGGGATGTGTGGAAAACCTCCTCCATTCTGGAAAAGATAACCTTCTTGCCCCTCATACAACGCTCAGTCACCATGGATGTATATGACCCACGCGCCTGGCTAGATGCAGTCATAATGACCAGGTTGTAAGTTCGGAGGAAGAAAGAAGGTAGTTACTAACTTACTGGTAAGACAAATATGATGTGACCTTTAGGGTCCCATTTACCTTGTAGGGTTTAGGGTTGGGGTCCTGATGCCTTGGCTCCTTTTTTTCTTTTCTGGATCTATTATGTGAACTATCATCTGGTCCTGTTTGGTGCTAGCAGAAAGTGCCAGGTCAGGAGTGTTTTTCAAGGGTGGTGGAGTTTCAAGGAGGAGGGGGAGAGGGGGGGAGTGCGGGGTGGGAATTGTACCAAGCGAATGAAGAGTTTTCGGATAGAGTCACGATTTGCTCTGAAGGACATGCTAAGACATCTAGTTGCGATTTCGTTAATGAACTCTCTATTCTTTCTAAATGAGCTGTCATTTATTCATGTTCTCTTTTTCTGTATTGGTTGGCGACTTGGCCCATAGGTGACCCTTCTTTTTGTGTGTTTTGGGAATTTTTTGCGAAACATTTTGGCATATAGGTTGATCTAATATCACACATAATGGAGCACAACAGGCTGGCTGGATTCTCCTTCTTGGTGAGCTTCACCGCCAACTCTTTTTATTTGCCTTTGTCTTTCTGTGAGGCCCCAATCTGTGCGACAACCTGCAAGTATAAGGCCATATCCGCACGTGTACTACTTTCCTCAATGTATTCGACTGCAGTGACATCAAGATAGGAGTCAAAAAAGTAGAGGTGTGAGTATGCTACTATGCTTTAACCTGCGTTGTACAATCCGCTTTTCGCC